CATGAGCCAGCAGGAGGGAACAGACTTCGGCACGCGCCTTGCTGGCTGCCTCGTGTAGCGGCGTGTACTGCCAGAGGTCAGCCGAGTGTACCTGTTCGGGCCCAGCGCCGGCCGCAATCAGCATTTCGCAAACTTCTAAATGGCCGTAGGAGCAGGCATTGTGCAGGGGAATGAGACCGCCCTTGTCCTTAGCACGCACATCGGCCCCAGCAGCAAGGAGAATTTGAACAATGCGACCTCTACAATCGGAAGAGACGCAGGGATTTTAAACAGAGGTTTTAAGTTAGAGGTTTTAAGTTAGAGGTTTTAAGTTACTTCTTTTAATGTGCACACAGTTCTGGCGATTATTAGTCTGTGCTAATTCGTATAGCAAAATCAACATAAAAGTCTAAAGACTTCTTCAGAAAGCACTTCTGAACTTTAAAAAATTCCAGCTTACCGGTCTCTTGGTAGAGAATCGGCTAGCAGTAACTAAAGTACTACAAGGTAAGGTCGCTTTAACGGCGGCCTTTAAGTACTTAAATTCAAGGCTATGTAGTACCAAGAGGAAACCAGGACTCCGTGGCTGGAGAGTACGCGCGCCAACCGCAAGAAGCTGAAGTTGGGACATGTGACTCCACCGCCGCCGCGAAATCACAGACCAAAACGACATCCAAAAAGATTACGAGGCGCGTTGTTGTGATCGGATGTACAACTGCACCTTCACAAGTCGGTAGAAAGTGGAATCTCGACCCTCTCCTTCCCCTTCCCCCTGCCTCTACTACCCTCGCGGGAGTCCATGTTCTCCAATGTCAGTAGGCGAGTACGTAATGTTTTCCATGCAACGTAGGCAGCACTTCAAGGCAGGCGCTTCTGGCGCCTGGCGAAAGTCCAGTCAGTTAAAGCCCTCCATACTGACGATTTGTTCGGCTATGTGTACAGACAACTAGGAATCACGAGGCGCCTTTGTCTTTATCCTCATGAGCGCCATGTTCTCTTCACAGCGGATGGTCAAACTCTCAGCTCGCTCCGAAAACAGCTGCAGGTACGCACAACAGCGGTGTTGGTGCAAACAGTACAATTTCCCTCCCCGCCCCACCCTTGTGCACCCACTTCATGAATCGCTGAAGTGGCAAAAGACTCACATCTTTAAAAAACCGACCGCCTCCAGCTCACTTTAGTTAAAGAAAAGTGCTCAGCTTTGCGCGTTGAACACGAAATAATTCAAAGGACAACGGCATAAATGTCTAAAAAATTAACAAGCGGTCAAAATAACATTGAAATATTCAACCTAAGGAAGTCAATTGCATCGAAGTCTATTAAATTCTAATTTATTCGCTCGCAAGTCGCGACAAGCAACCAGTCTTTGATCGAGTGGAGAAATTTCGGAGAAGGTGGTAAACAGCGTTGAGAAAAGTGTTGGGCCGGTGGATGGAAAATTAAATGAATTATAGTAGCTGTGATCCGGGCGTACAACTGTAATCTTACGTCTGATCCCGCCTCCGACCGTTTGACTTAATCTTTCCGCTGGACCCAAGTGGACGAGGTAGGAGAGTGTGTTAGATGCAGCGCAAGTCCTCTATTACTGACAGTTCGACCATCGCTCTCAACGATGTCCACCACGAGCTTCAGCAGACTGAAGACAAACGAGAGGACTCCCGCGGGATTATAGAGAAAGCAGACTTGCGCAGAATCTACCGCACTCACTCACCACTCTCACACTGGAACCCGATGTCAAGACAAAGTCGAAAAGACCGGAGATGAGGGAGAGCGCAGGCGGTGTGCGCGAAACACAATCCAACACGCGCCACAAAAACACCACCTTGCTAGGTAAGGTCGCGCCTGGGAGCGCCATATAGGTCACATTAAGCAGGAGCCACTGAGCCTGACTGTCAGTCCGCAGTAAGCCACTCCACACAACAAGACGTACACTGGACTGACTGCGGTGTCCAAGTTTTCCCGCCAGTTGGCAACCCTCCAAGCCACGGTTTTTAGCGC